TCCTCCTTTTTACTCAGTGTGACTATCCTGGTGTTCATCTGTGTTGTTGCATGTATTGATCATTTCTTTCTTTTTATTGCTGAATAGTATTTTATTGTGTGGATATACCACACGTGATCCATGTACTTGTTGATGGACATTTGATTTACTTCCAGTTTGGGGATATTGGAAATAAAACCTTTACGAACATTTGTGGACAAGTCTTTATGTGGATATATGCTTCCTGAAGGTGTTCTTAAAATTTAAAAGTATCTGTGAGATTGCTTAAGTTATGAAGGTGCAGAGCAGAGAGGCACAGTTAAAAATCTCTCTCAATAGTTGTTAGAACAAAATCCAAGCTTCTTCAGTACTTTGATATAAGGTTATTGTGTTTGGAGGAACATAATCTATGGAAAATTTTTTTCTCTCTCCTTTTTTCCTTTTGCCACCCATAGACATAGTTTCCCATATCTATTATAAAGTCCATGAGTGTCTGAGAAGCTGCCGCCCATTACTGATCCCTCTGTGTTTTATTCAGTTCTCAGGTGCTTTTTCTGAATCTGGCTCCATTTGCTGGAGAGTCCTTGTCTGGTTGAAGTACAGCTTTGTTTCTCAGGTCTGACTTTTCTGCCCTCAGATTTCTGTCACCAACCTGTCACCAGCTGCCTGCTTAGGTCACTATAGCCTGAGATCTTAGGCACCAACCGTTAGCTGCCCCCTCACCACACCTCTGTAGGATGCTGTTGGGTGTCTGCTGCCTGACGGCTGCACCCAGGTGCACCTCCCTCTTCCTTCCAAACTCTGCATCTGGCCCACGTCACGAGTCCTCTCTGTGCCATTTGAACCACTCCAGATCCCAGTGTGCGGCCAGATTTGCTCTTGATCTTGGGGACCTGAGTACTCCGGGCTCTTGGAGAATGCCAATGTACAGAAGTGCCTCTGGTGTGCAACAGGCTTGGGTCTGAAAAATTGTTCCCAAGTCCAAGTCCAAGTTCCTACAAGTAAATGGCACCAGACCTTCTACTACTGTTGCCATCTGCTGGTGGCAGGCAGAGTTGACCCAGTGTGTTCATATTTACGGAAGTTCTCAGGGCACAATCTTTTGTGTGTGTGTGTGTGTGTGTGTGTGTGTCTGTGTGTTTCAATAAAATAGTTTTATTTTCTTTAAAAGATCTTACAGTGCTTTTGTTAGCCTTTATTTTCTTTTGTTCTTTATGCTGGATGTATTCTTTTCTTTATTCTTATTATTTATTTTATTGAAGTACAGTCAGTTAATGTGTCAATTTCTGGTCCCAGTCATGCATATACATGTATATTCATTTTCATATTCTTTTCCATTAAAGGTGCAATCTTAAGTAGAGAGAAGTCTATCTGTTATGTACTTATACGTTGTACCACTCCTTGCATCTACACTCTATGTGCTTCAGCTGCACCGGCCTTCATTCTCTTTGTCCAATATGCCACTCTTATTTCCTCGTTTGGGCTTGTGTGTTTTTCATCCCCTCTTCTTAGGACAACCCACTTCTACAAATCTTCAGACAGCTGGCTTCTGCCGTTATTCACCCCTCAGGTGAGCTGTGATTCCCTTTGAGAGTCTGCCTTGACCCAGCAACACCCCACAAGTCAGTCATTGCCTTACTCTATTATGTGTTTTTGTTTTAATAGCATTTATCATTTACTAAATTGCTTTCATTCATTTGCTAATTGTTAATTGACCTCCTCCTCCTCCACACACCCACATGTAAATATAAGAGCCCTGAGAGCAGGGAATGAGGAGCTCGGAGGGTGGAACAGTGCTTCTGTTGCTCAAAGGAGATGCCCAGTAAATACATACTTGTTTAAATGAATGCATATAGTACCTCTGTCTGCCTGTCGAAATCTTACTTCTCGTTGGAAGTCCAACTCAAACACTGTCTCTTTTAGGAACATCACCATGAAAGTATTTTTTTTTCTCTTCCTGGCTTACGTCACTTAGAATGACAATCTCTAGGTCCATTCATGTTGCTGAAAATGGCATTACTTTATTCTTTTTTATGGCTGAGAAGTATTCCAGAAATTGACACATTATAACTGACTGTGCATCAATTAAAAAAAAAAGAACGTCTCCAATCAGATTGTTTTCTTTCTCTTTCACAGCACTTTTAATTTTTTCTTTATTTCTCATGTTAAGCTGTCGAGTTCCCATGTAGTGGAAACAGGGGTCACACTTGACTTATTTTAAATATACACTTCAGAGTTAAGGACATAGTAAATGCTGAGATGTTTGTTGAAGTCATGAATACATGAAAATTAAGTATATTATTAGACTGCTGGCCATTTAATTTTTTTCTTATTATGATATATTTAAGGCACACAGAAAACAATCAATAATATTATAAATAATACCCAAGTACCCATTATCAGGTTTAAAAAAATGAATGTTAAAGACACATTTGAAATCTCTTACGTATGACTGTGATATTGTGATTTCTAAGAAATATATTCAGGTCATTCAGATTTTTCATATATATATTTGGTCTTCATACAGAGTTCCTGGCTGGAAGCTCCCCAAAACTCTGGGAGTTTCCTAAGTGAGGAGAGCCCTAAAGTTGTTTTTTGTTATGTTATTGAAGTGACTTTCAGAACTCTCCTAGGATGGGGGCTGGTTGCCAGGGGAACCAACCTAGTGAGTGGTTAGAGGGTTGGAACTTACAGTCCTGCCCCCTGACCTTGGGGAGGGGAGTTGGAGAGGGGACTGGAGGTTGAGTTCAGTCGGCAGAGGCCGATGATTTAATCAACCATTCCTCTGTAATGAGGTCTCCATAAAATCCCAAAAGGAAGGGGCCCAGAGAGCTTCCAGGTGGGCGAACAGGTGGAAATCTGGGGGGAACGGCACACTCTTCACACTTTCCCTGTCTTGCCCTACGCATCTCTTCCTCTGGCTCTTCCTCACATGTATCCTTTGGTAATAAACTGGTGATCTAGGAAGCTAAATGTTTCTAAGTTCTGTGAGCTGCTCTGGCAGATTAATCAAACCCAACCAAGGAGGAGGTCCTGGGAACCTCTGATTTACAGCCAGTTGGTCAGAAGTACAGAAAACCACCTGGACTTTCAGTTGGCATCTGATTTGGCGGCGGTGGTCGAACTGCCAGTCTTCAGCCCGTAGATCAGAAGCAAAGGTAACAACCTGGACTTGGAACTGACTTCTTAACCTGTGGAATCTGACTCTATCTCCGGGTAGGTGGTGTCAGAATTGAGCTGAATACTAGGTCACTCTGCTGGAATCCAAAAATTGCTTATCGGTGGGGCAGCACCCCCCCTCCACATACGCATGTGCTGAAATTGGGTCCAGAAACCTAAAAGACCATCCTTCATCCCTTCCTTCTCCTTTCTTCCCTGAAGCCATCGTAATTCTGAATTTGGTGTTTCTCATTCCTGTGTGTGTGTGTGACTATAGGTGCATTTCACCGCACTGCCTGTCTGGGCGTGTGTGCGCATATGTGAGTATCCATTTACCACCTATACTATTCTGCTGGTTTTTAAGTAGTCTATGGTGAGGGCCATTTTACACCTTGTTTGTTCCCCCAACATTATGTTTTTCAGATTATCTGTATTGGTACATGCAGTGTTGGAGTCTAGGGGTGAGACCATTTATTTCAATTGTTGTATGGTACGCCTTTTTAGAACTATTACACAGTTCCTTTGTCCACTGTCTTGATAAAACGCATTTCGTTTTCTCTTGTCACTCTCACAAACAATTCTGCAGCAAACACTCTTGTACCATTTTCCCCTTAGCATCCTAGGGAGTTACTCGAGGGTTTACATGGGGACGTGACGCCAGGTTGCCTGGGTTCGAATCCTTATACTGCTGCTTGCTGGCTTTCCCAAGAAGCACTGAGCACCAGCCATTTTCAGCCCTTCTCATGAGCATGTACGCCCTACCTCAGCCCCTGGCAACAAGCCACCAGCTTGGTTTAGGTCCCTTTGGCTCCAGCGGATCCTGCTGGAGCCAATTCCCAGATGCCACTGCTGCTCCTGGAGCCAGACCCCAGCAGGCCTGTGGCTTCACATGCAATCACTACTTTGCATTTATGTACCGTTTCTGGTCCAGGGAGAGATTTATTTTCAAGCCTGGAGACGATTTTTAGTTTTTCCTTTTAATATTTTATTCATCATTGCTATGTGTTTGGAGCAGAGGGAGTCCATCAAAGCATGAATGTACTGTGTCATTGTAACCAGAAGCTGATAACACACCTCTCCAACCTTTTAAAACCCAGCACAGATCTTAGCATCATCTGATCATAGATTTTTGGAGCGGGAAGGGATTTTAGAGATAATGAAGTCCAATCATCTTATTTTATAGGTGAGGGAATTGTGGTCTTGAGAAAGTAAGTGATTTGCTGACGTCATATATCTAGTTAATGGTGGAGGCGGGACCAGAACCAAAGCCTGCAGTGTCCCTCAACAGCCCTTTTGCCATTACGTCGATGATTATAGTTTTCAGTATAGAAGCTGTATTGACATGTAACGTTTTATTTTTAACAGAAACCAAAAAAATAAAAAAAATCAGAATTCAGCGATTAGAAATAGGACCTGTCAGATTTTTAAATTGATGTGAGATGTTTTCTCTTGAAAAATATTGAGGTAGAAGCAAAAGTGCAGTATTCACTGCATCGAGCTGAATATAGTTTCATTAGAAGGCACAAGTGCCTTTTGACTCTGTGGATTCCTGCTGCATTCGGTTCCCTTGACTTTCTGCAACTTATAAGGGGAGGCCCATCAATCACGGTGGTGATACTTCCAACCTCCCGCAGCACTGGGTCTGCAAATGAACTGTGATGAATGGGTATGGGCAGCGTTCAGAGTGATAGCCTCTATTTCTGCTGTCCTGTAAAAATGGCAGGTAGTTTAATTTAGGGGGAAAAATGACTAAGAAAGAGCAAGTATTCCTTCTAATGAGGATTTCTGGACTATTGTAGGCTATAAATCGAGAATCTGGTATGTTTCTTAAAGCCTTTGGAATTGTTTTATTCTATTTCTAGATCTTTTAGCCGTGCCTAAGCACCCGTATGCTGCTATGGAGAACTGGGGACTCAGTATTTTTGTGGAGCAAAGAATACTGCTGGATCCCAGTGTTTCATCTATTTCTTATTTGCTGGATGTCACCATGGTCATTGTTCATGAGATATGTCACCAGGTATGAGAAAAAGGATCAGGTGTAAGTATAATTGCAAACCATCGAACACGTAGACTCATGTCAGATCCTTGGATTAGGAGCTACGTTGTTATCCTCCCAATTAAATTTTAATTTCTGTATGGTGCACCGTGTAGTTCCTTTTGGAAGAGATGCCGTTTTTCTCAGATGACAGCACACACGCAAGGAGACACAGGGATCATGTTGAATAAGCAACTGTCACTCAGTTTAGTTGAGGGTGAGATGGCGGTGCCAGTCAGCAGCCTCTTTGGAGACCCAGCCCTCTCACTGTTCTGTGTTCACCTTTCTTTGCTTTCTTGTGATTATTGGTGTGGTTATATGGTTAAGTGCAGGGACGGCACTGATTTATTGCATCGCTGCAAGATGCAGCAGAGTTTTGTGTACATGTCAAAACCTGCTTTTGCAGAAATCAATTTGTTATTCCCCGTCTCCCATCACACAGACACTTAGGAAGTCTTTCACTAACTCAGCCACAGACTCTTTGTTCTCCAATGATTGATATTTTTTTGTCTTGGCATGTTTAGAAATTCACATGTAAATTAGTCAGCTTTGTCGTGAAGCGAAGATAAAATTAATTTCATTTTGCTTTTATGCACTTTCTTACAATGAGGGGAAGGTATGACAGAGATTTCACAATGCTTGTTTGAATCTTGATTCCAGTGGAAAAAAAAATACTGGAGATAAATGTTCGTGCTGGTAAAAGCAATACTTGTCCTGGTTACCAGAATCTATGGGTAGTTTTTAACTGAAAACGTCAGAAATCTCCGTGTGACGTCACATGACTTCAATTTGTTATAGACCCTAAATCTTTTTAAAAAGCTAGAAAAAGTTAAGAAAGAGTGAGATGGAAAATGCTGTCACGGAAAGAAGGTGGACAGCTAAATTCTAATACATGAATAGGGACTTAATGATAAAGTGTTCCAGGCTATATGACTATTTGCTTAATGTCCACCTCTTGCAGTTAACGTGTAAGATGTTTGTACCTGTCGCCCTGGCCCAGTTGGACATGTGTTCCTTCCTTCAGAGGCTTAATGGGATCCGGTGCAGAGACGGCCGGGCTCCTCCATTGTGCTAAAAATGGTTTCCAGCTAAACATACAATTTGTTGCAAAAGCAGTTTCCTTTTTGGAACATTCCTAGAAACAAGTTACAGGTAGAGTCCTGTTGAAATAAGAACACACTGGTAATCATGGTTCCTTGAACTGGATTTCGTTTGTTCCAGATTCTAAGTTACTTTCTTCTTACAGCGTAGTGGTGCTGGGCGAACTTCCTGTGAGGAAGTGAACCAGAAGCTGGGGAGAAACACGTAATAATTTACCCCATTGCTGCCAAGTTATTTTCTCCATTACCACCTCTCCCCACCTGTTTATTGCCACAATTCTTAAGATAAACTTTCAAATTACGGAAGAAGAAACATTTATTTCTGATGGAGAATAAAAAATATGTTAAATATGATTTATGTTGTGGTCATCAGCATATTCAGGTGTCTCCATTTGTATTTCGAATGGAGATCCTCTTGAGTAAGGGATCCTTTATTATTAATATTGAAATGCTCGGTCACCCCTGCTCTTAGCTCTGGCTCCTAAAGCTGTGATCCGATGATCTGATCCTTGTCTGCCTTTTCCTTCTGTTTCTTAAGTAACTCACTCCCACTTAGAGTCTTCACACTAAAGGTTACTTACCTGTCTGACATCCTCTTGCCCAAGGCTTTCTGCTGACTGGCTCCTCCTTATCCTGAAAGTCTGAGCTCGAATGTCGTCTGCTTAGAGAGAACCTTTTTTGCTTTTCGATGCTGAAGCCATCCTCCCCGATTCCTATCACACTTTAATAGGATCTGAAACTGCACTGTTCATTTGCTTATTTATTTTTTATTTTCTATTTCACCTCATTATCCCTGCCTCCACAATAAAGTGTCAGCTGCCTGAGGAGGGACATTGACTTTCATCACTGAATCCCAAGTCTTTAGGGTAGTTCCTGGCATATAATGTTTTTTTTTTTCTTTTTTGGTTGTTTTTGTTTGTTTTGTTTTTCAGGGAAGAAAAAAAGAATTCCTTTAAGCTCTTGCTCACCTAGGCAAAGATTTCAGAGTAATGCTTCACAAGCTAATCAAAACATCAGTTAAAAATGACAGCATTATTTTTCCTGTAGGAATCTTAAGAGTTTTTTTTGGTCCAACCCTTCATTATCATAGAATCATGGAGAGTCAGATGTGGAGCATCTTAAAAAGCCCTGAGTTCCTTTGGTCAGTGGGTATCTTCTCTGAATTCCTTCTGCCACTAGAGAGCGATGCTTCGCTACGCCCCGTGATGAGCTCACTGCCTTTAGAGGTGGTATTTGCCATTCCCCCATTTCAGTCTGTTAGAGGGTCTCCTACATTTTTAGCAGATGTCCACCAATCCTAATTTCCGTCCATTAGTCCTGATTCGTCCTTTGTAGGGCCCCAGGTCCCAACCGGATTCCTCTTTTACATACTAGGTCTTCAAATATTTGAAGGCAGCTGTCATCAGGGTTTTTTTTCTCTCCTGAGTCCTTTCTTCTCCAGGTGAAATATTCTTTCTATGTCCCTTGATCGTTTTATTTTTGTTCTTCTCTGAATGCATTTATAAAAAACTAACGTCACCCAAGTAGTCAAAGAAATCAAGTCCTGCCATGACATATGTTAAGATCACAGAATCAACTGGGGAATGAATGCCGGTTGTGATCATCATAGTCGAATACATAGTTTAATTCTGAATAAAATAATTCTGTGCTGGATTTGATTTTATCTGATGCCCATTCATTTTGTCACGGCAGTGGTTTGGTGACCTCGTGACTCCTGTGTGGTGGGAAGACGTGTGGCTGAAGGAGGGTTTTGCTCACTACTTTGAGTTCGTTGGTACAGACTACCTCTACCCTGGCTGGAACATGGTAAGTGGGCTTCGCTTTAATTGTTTGGAACTCCCAGTGAAAGGTTACATTGGGCTTACATTATCATCAGAGGTGACTAAAAATACCAGCTGATGCATGAAAAAAGACTTTGATCTCCAATAAAGGAAAAGGAACCCCAAATTCAAATAGTATTCCAAAAGAATTCTCCCTTGTTTATTAGAACTAAATCGTCTGGTTAGTTATATATTGATTTCAAAATGCTTTAAGTTTTCTAAATAGAAATATTTTACATTGCAGTATTTGATAACAAAGACAAATAATCCTTTAAAATACAGAAGATAGCAGTAATTCATAAGTAATTTTTTAAGAGTATAGGATATTTCGATATATAAAAAAAGAAAACTTTAAGTTTAAGTGATAAAATCAAATTAGCTAAAATTTTTAATTTTTTTGTTTTTACTTTAGGATTAAGTGACTTAATAAGAGGTAGCTAACTTTGTAGAGCTTACCGCTTAGTGACCCCCTCTCTAGGAACATACCTGTACCTCTGAACCTGAAGTAGGATTGTTGTCCCTTAAGCAGTGATGTTTCAGAACATCCTAGGGGAAAACAGTGGGGGGAGGGAGTGATTTTTGTAGGTCCTTGAATGTAAGTTTTTCATTTTATATAAGCTTCCCTTAATCAGTAACCGACTATGTTATTAAATAGAACCCCGGGGTATATGTTGTTTTGGAACTTCAATTTTAAATTTATTTTAAGTGGCATTACGTGAAAGTTGCAAAGTACTAACATTTATCAACTTCCAGAAGCTCAAACATCACCTGTGATATGGCATAGGTCACAATATGGATTTATTTTACACTACTCTTTTTTGATGTTTAAATTCTTAATAATATGTGATTATCTAATTATCTGTCATGATTACAAGTATGATTTGAATACTGTTTAAACCAAGGTGAAGTATGAAGTCTGTAAGTCATGATAGAACGTCTCTACCATAAATTCAGCCAACTCCTGCTGAGTAAAAAAAGTGTACTCAGAAGAAATGTTATAATTTTAATACTATATTGATATGTTTGAATTATACATCTTTGGTTATATTTTATAAAGGCAACATGGTTCATTTGCACACATGTATGAGTTAACTTTTCTTAGCCTCATGTGCCTAGGTATGTATGTATATATAATACAATTTTTAAAATCTTAATTGAACTGCCTTATTATGGCCTTGAAATTAATTAAAAATGCCTTTAAAGAACTTTGAAGAAAAATCATCAAGGCCATGCAATATTAATTAAAGTGTTTTTTAACAAATATGAAATTTGAAAGCTGAAATGTTTAAGGCTATTGAAACATTTGTAAAAATATATTTTGGTTTTTTAGTTGACTGTCACCAAGTCTGTTTAAAATTTCCATTTAATTTTCATTACTGCTGTGGATTATTACTGATTCATAATTTCATTATGTTTCTATATTAAAAGATGTTTGTATTACAAATGATATGTTACTCATATAGGTAAACTTTTTTTTTCTAGCTCATCCAGCTATCCATGATAGCCTTTCTGTTCATACTTATAAAAATGTATCTGAGAATTAAAAAGTAATCAACAGAATTCTCTGACAGCATTTGATAGTTTTAACATGGCAGTGTATCCCTGGTTTCAAACTCATACTGGATTTTGTCTATGAATAATTTTTTGTATTCCTTCATTATTTTTCAAATTATAAAGGAAGAGCGTTTTTGTAAGAAGTATTGAAAGTGAATATAATAGCACATCTGACACTCTGTCCTTCGTAGAATAACAACGATGCTCCGGAACTATAAAAACCTTGGGGTGGTAAGATATAAATCCATCCTTTATAACCAAATATGGAAATTAGTGATGGACTAACCTGAGAAATGAAAGAATAAACTCCTCACAATTAATTAGGCAACAGTGAAAGCAGTGTCTCTTATTATGATGTCTCTTTATGTTCAGATTTTTAAAGATGATTATGAATACTTTCTGATTTTTGGTTGCTGTTACTTGTTTAGTAGCTTTTAAAATTTAGTTTGCAAAGTACTTCGATATACTAAATTTATAAAACCTATAAGAAACTCCAAACAAATTGTTCCTCCATGGATCATTAATAGCTTCTTTGCAAACAAAATTTTAAGACTAAGTTAGCCGCATAAATAAGAGAGGATATTAAGTGACTTGAAGGCTGTGTCAGCACTGGTTTTCATAATGGCATCAGCAAAAGGGTGAAAGAAATACTGGGAAGAACACGAATGATGGCTGTGTCAGCAGTAACTCATCCTATTGTGGTGTGCACGAAAGCTTACCTGGGAGAGCAAGGCGGGCCCCACTAGAACTTAGCCTAAAATAGAAAAACCAGAAGTCAGGCTTGGGTCAGAAGGAAAGAGATTCAGGAAGCTGATCTCTTTTGCCTCTAATCTCAAAAACAGTACTTTTATTATTTAGACGCCAAGGCTTAGGCAATGAGATACCATTTCAGTTTGCCAGGGATAGTCTACCTTCAATAGAATAGCAATAAAGAAGCTGGGAATTAAGTAGTATTGTTCAGGAAGCTCTTGTTCTGATTTAAGCGAGTAAACTTGTGTAGCCTGTAAAACTGTTAGTAAAATCTTACCTGTGTGTGTGTGATGTGTGTGTGTGTGTGTATGTGTGTGTGTGTGTGTGTACAGCCAGTTTCTGATACCGAGATAATCAGTTTTTACGTGAAGAACACTACATGGAATAAAAACTACTATGAAGTTTTTGTTCCCCAACAAATGAATCAAGTTTACCTACCGTTGTATAGATACGGCGCTTTACAGGTAGTATGATATAAGATCAGGGGAATGGATCGGAAAGAAGAAATTCAGATTCGAAGAAAGGGATTTCACTTCTTTGACGCATCCTTATCATTTGAGAAATGAGGCAATCCTACTGACTGAATAAGTACACATACTTTTGGTGAAGATCAAGTAACTGCGAGGTCTTTGAAATGCATGAACTGCTATACAAATGTGAGCAGGCATCACGGACCTGGAAAATAATGAATGCTCCATTAGAAAGGGGCACTGATTTCACGTATAGAAGCCCTAACATTTCCAACCCTAGTAATCTATTTCGACACCCTAGATTTATAATAGCTATGTATAGATTACAAGAAATTTCTACAATCTTTGTATTTAGACTCAGTCTCACCAAATTAGTACTTCACTATATTGGCAATTGTGTTCCTATAGAATAGGAACACAAGCCTTGTGTAAGGTTTCATTCATTGAGCAGAAGTGTCAAGATCATCAGAAGCAACTTCTTCAGCTCAGGACTGGGGAGAGATTTCATGGGGCGAGTATTCCTTTTGCTTGAAGTTATTTTATCAAAGCTGATTGTTAATGGCGACATTATTGGATGCATTAAGTTACTGTATGCTATTGATAGCAGTCTTATTAAATCTTACTGTATTTCCTCCAAGGGGGAAAATAAAGGAAAGATTCATGCAGCAGAGTTACTATCTTCAACAATTCTTGATCATTTTAATTTGAAAAAGTCTATGATAAAAAGACTTTTAATATAGGAAAAGGATGAATAGTAAGATACAACCATGAAGAACTTCTTATTTTACAGACCTGGTGCTGATGCAGATGAAATCATATCCCCTGTGGATATTGCACAGCTTTTTCACTATAATTTGTATCTATATTGTAGATGTTTCCTTTAGTTTCCTGAATGTAGCCTTGTAAGGACGTGCTGCTCAGATGAGAGTTATTAAACATGAGTGTATGTTCTTTTATTAAATAATTTGGGATGCTAAGGCGCTTCACACAGCAATAACTGTACACTGATAAAGTCTGCAGACTGGGAATTCTCCTTAAATTTTTATGAGGACACATACCTGGGCATAAAGATAACTATTAATAGAGAATCATGCAAATAAACTTCATTATATTAATACTTAGGATATCTCAAAGTTTATTGCCCAAAACCTTGATAAATATTCTCAATTGTTTTTATCATGAGCAGGACTAAAATAGTAAAAATGAATTCTGCCATTAGACTCAGTATCATTTTAACGTGCTCCAGCAAAAATTACCTGCTAAATTTAATAGGCATTGCAATAAAATCACTTTACTTCTTAAATTATTTTATTTTGCTTCAAAAAGAAGTTGAGAAAATCTTTGGGAACTGAAATATACACAGAGTTTATTGAGTTCAATTGTTTTTTTTAAGATACACTGCTTAATTATTCTAAACAATAATAAACACTCTACTATTCAGAGATGGGGAAATAGAAAAATAGAAACAGAAGTTTTGGTTAATATTTTACTTGTTTACCTGTTCATTTCTTAAGTCTATCCTTGACTTAGCATCTGTAGGGGAAATGCTTTCATGTGCTTCTCAAAGTTAGTTAATATTCATTTCAGTGGTTGTTGGTATATTGGTACTATTGCCTGTAATTCATCAATATCAATATATTTTTTTGTCCAGGGGAGGTATGGTGTCAGAGATAAACCTTTGGGAATTAAATATTTATTTTAAAATCTTAACTTATAAATACTGAATCCCAGATACATATTTGTATATGTACACATACATGATTTTCCATATAATTGTATTTTCTCTATTATGGCAAAAATCCACATATAATATTCTGCTCCTGAGAAGTCAGTAATTTGGAAGGTGATCCAATTGTTTTCAGCTGGTTAATGAGATTTTATTCTCAAATGAATGACACAGATTGAATTTAAAAGCTTCTATGGCTAATCCCAAGGGTCTATGGTATTGTTGATCCTTGTCAGTAACTTAAAAGTGACATTTACATTGAAAGTCTAGAAGAAAAGCAGAAGGAGTGCCTGCTTGGGTCGTTTGGGGGCCACGTGTTTAAAATGGACTTCTTTGGGCTGTCCCCTTGTACTTCCCTCCTAACCATTCTGCAGAGTAATTGCTCTTTGTGCTGAAAACATCGACTTTCTTTTTTTTTTGTAAGAAAAGAGAAAAAATTATCTTTTTCTCACTTGAGAGGATCTGGGGAGCTGTGTGTGGCCCTCT